TTTTTTTTGCCAGTACCATGCTGATTTTATCACAGTGGTTTTGTAGTATAATTTCAAGTCAGGGATTGTGATACCTCCTGCCTTTTCTTTGTTGCCCAGAATTGTTTTTGCTATTTTAGGTCTCTTCTGGCTCCAGATGAATTTTAAGAATGCTTTCTCTAGATCTGTGAGGTATACTAATGGTATCTTAATTGGGAATCTATATCACAATTTTGGTAGGATAGCCATTTTCACAATGTTGGTTCTTCCCATTCACAAGCAAGGAATATCTTTCCATTTTCTGAAATCCTCTTCAATCTCTGTTTTCAAAATACTGTAATTTTCACTATAAAAATCTTTTACTTCCTTTGTTAGACTGTTTCTTAAGTATTTCATTTTTTTGAGGATGCTACTGTGAAAGGTATGGTTTTCCTAATTTTTTTTTTGTGTGTGTGTTGTTTGTGTACAGAAATGCTATTAATGTTTAAGTGTTGATTTTATATCCTACTATGCTACTGAATTCGGTTACAAAATCCACAAGTCTCCTGGCGGAGTTTGGGGGTCTTCTATGTAGAGTATCATGTCATTCAGGTCATTCTACATTTTGCATGCGGCCATCTAGTGGGAGGGGAATAGAAGATAGATGAATAGGTAGTAGGAGGTTTGGAACGATGGGAATAAAAGAGTTGAAAGAGGGAAATGGTGAAAAGGGGAGCAAGAGTTGGAGTCGGGGGCTGGGGAGATAGCTCAGTAGAATAAGTGCTTGCTTGGCAAGCACAGGGTCCTGAGTTCAATCCCCAGTACTGGGGAAAAAAAAAAAAAAAGAGTTGGAGTGGGAAAGGGAGTTGTCAGTGTGAAACAAAAGAATTAAGGTGTCTTACATACCCTCACAATAGTGGTAATCATGATGTACAATATCCAAATGAAAAGTTTCTGTCCATCAAAAGAACACAATCAACAGGGCAAGAATCAAGCCATGGAATGAGAGAAAGCATATCCGATGCCAATCATGTATCAGATAAGGGTTCAGCATCCAAATTCATAAAGAACTATACCTCAGCCACAAAAACCAACCCAGTTTAGAGGGCTTGAGAGGACATCTCCCCCAAAAAGCAATACAAGGAGCCAAAATGCCCATGAAATGTTGCTCAAGATTAGGAAAAGAATGAGAGACCATTTCCCAGCCACTAAAATGGCTGTCATCAGAGGGAAAGAAACAACCGCTGGTGGCATGTGGAGGTATTAGAACCCTTGTCCGTGGCTGGTGGGAATACAAAATGAGGTAGCTACCGTGGAACGCAGCATGGCAGTTCCTCAAAGCTTTCATTTTCTTGAGCAATTGTCCTTCTATACCCAAAAGAAGTGAAATACAGGAACACAGACACCTCTCTGGATGGTCATGTTCTTTTCAGCATTATTCACAATAACTAAAAGACCAAAGCAGTCCAAGCCTCCATCAATGGGTGAATGAACAAACTCTGGAATATCTGCACCATGGATATTAACCTTGAAAACAGAATGGAATTCTGGGCATGTGCGTCAGTGGTCCGCTAGCTGCCTACTGTGTGTGAGACCCTGGGTTCAATCTCTGACACAGCAGAGATAATTCTGACCCACACTACCACATGGATGAGCCTAGAAGGGGTTGTGCTGAGGAAGCCAGGCACAAAAGGACACGTGCCGTGTGACCCCACTTCCACACGGTTGCTAGGGTGGTCAAACCCACCCACACCCTAGAGACAGAAAGTGGAATGGTGGTTTCCAGAAACTGTGAGATGAAGAGATGTGAGGGGTCAGTATGAAATGGGTACAGAGTTTCGTTGGGAAAGATGGAAAAGTTCTGGAGACGGAAGGTAAAGATGGGAACACAGCAATGCCTCTGCCCTTCATGCTG